ATAAATATTTTCGCGTAAAACTTTCAAAATGTGTGCAAACGGTTGACCGTGATAACTGCCGGTATACATGTTATATATATATTATAGTGCGGCGGCGCGTACCATCATAAATTACAGATCAACAAGTGGCCATTTTACCCCCTCCCCTTTACTACTTCCGCCCGCGCATGTAAACATATTGCAAGTCTGCCGCTTACCCCCGAACCCGTTTAAAASTACGCGTTTATCGTTATCATCATGATGATTACTCCATTACCCTTCCACCCACACTGTTCTTAGTCGAAATCCACATGTAGGTGATAATAATACATAAACATACTAAATTTTTCCGCGATTTCGCGTTTTCGTCGTCTGCACTATACTGTCGGGTTATTGATTCACCACGTTTAGGGTCATTTGTAGTCATTTAGTATCGGTTTTAGATTATGTCGATTTTTAATACAAAAGTTCGAAGGCGCTTATAATGATTAAAACTGTGAAGTGTCGCCTCCGCCTCCTGTACACCACATATTGACCTCAATTGATCTCTCCCTCTCTTCTGCTGTGCATCGGAAATCGGCTGTACAAAATAATATACATTACAATATAGATATTTGTAATTCTTTTAGTTAAATTACCGAGTGTTGGGACACAGTGCAAAGGGGACACGCGCTATTAGCTCGTTCGAATCGAATGCATTTTTTTTCCAAGTATAATCGCCCAATCTTGTATGATAAACACACACATCGTTATTATTAGATAATAATATGACATACGATATTCAAATAGGTATGAAACTCGAAAACAACAGTTTCCGGTAAACAACACAATTAAATGYCATTACGTAATATTATGATTATGTAATCCATTGAAGCCATTAGCCATCATTAGAAACAGTTTTTATCACCCATCATTATTTATTTTTATCATTTGTTTTCTTTTTTTATTTTATTTTACATAATTGCGGTAATTTTTGCAGGTCCAGATTCAGGTACGGATGCATTTGCGGTATTTTGGTAATATTTATACATTTGTAGCGACATAACGTGGCAATTATTTATTTGTTTTATTATCTTAMAACTACTCTTACTATCATCTATCTTTCTTTTCTATCGTACACTTAATAATTTTACACGCTTTATTCATTATTCTGTTTATCTTTCATCACCTATTAAAATGATTTAAGTTGTTTGCACTGTCGCAGGTTTTACACTAAATGGCATAATACTATTCTTACTTAATTTAATATTTATATTTGCATAG